TGGGAAAGCCTCTATCACTGGTTACCAGTTGTTCTGTCTCCTTCTGGAAGCTCCGTGAAGCTGCTTTCTTGTACCCCCTGTTCGCTGATCTCCGATAGGAGTCCAAAATGGCAGATCCGTGCTGGGGTAGCTGATAGGGGACCTCTGCCTGTATCTCTCCTCGCTTTCTGTTCTCCGTCAGTTTCTTATTCCATTCGGTGCTTGGCTGAGTTCTTTATCTCTTCATTTGATGTTTAGGGTTTCAGGATTGATGTGTGACTCTGTTTGACTTAGTTTTTGTGATCTTTGCTGCAGACGGATGGTGTGGTGCTTCTGACTATAGCGCCATATTACCTGGAAGTCCGTCATCTCTTCACTTTCTTGATGGTATTTTTTAATGCACAAAATTTTATAATTTTGATGAAATTCAGTTGCGTAGTACAAAGAACTCTGTTTGACCTTTGTCTGTGGTTTCTGGAAAATAGCCCTTGGGGTTTCCCCAAGCAATCATGGTGTCTTTGTTTTTCTGAAAGAGCTCAGCAACACTTAGACATGTGTAAATGAGTATGGGCTACACAGGCCCCACCCTGGCAACAGGTTTCAGGAAGGGAGGGAGGTGTGATGCAGTCAATCATACATATTCATTGATTTATGCATGTATATTGAGGCTCTGGAAACACTGGTGGCATAGTGGTTAAGAGCTAAGGCTGCTAACCAGAAGGTTGGCAGTTCAAATCTATAAGGCGCTCCTTAGAAACTATGGAGCAGTTCTACTCTGTCTGATAGGGTCAGTATGAGTTGGAATCGACTGGATGGCAACAGGTTTTTGTTTTTGTTTTTTGTTTTTTTTTCTTGGTATTCAGGGTCCAGTCATGCAAATACGTTGAGGTCCCAATGCCTTATAAGGGATCCTGGACCTTGAAGCTTCCTCTTTTTGGGGCTTTCTGTACTGGTGACAACATCCATGCATGGGAGAGGGTGACACATCCCTGGGGAGGCCCCATGCTGGGAACTGTCTCAGACCTTGCCTGATATGTCTTTTCACTCATATCCTTTCTGGTTACAATAAATGGGTAGCTGTAAGTATAGGTAATAGTCACCATGAACTTTGTGAGCTGTTATAGAGAATTAATGAAACTACAAGGGACAATGGGATTCTGACTTACCTCAGGGTGGCTAATTTAGAGAAGGGCTGCACAAGCAGTAGTAAGGATGGAGTCCTAACTCATGAAAATCCAGTCTTGGATGGCTGATGGTCAGAGAAGGGCTGCCCAGAAGTCGATGAAGAAGAACAGAGTCTTTCTAGCTTGTGACCTAGTCCTGGGGGGTAAAGAGAGGGCTGGCTGGCCTGAAGTGCAATGAGTTGTGCAGATTCCTGGGCCTGTGGCTGATACCTGATCACCTGGCCCCGGGTGGCCCTGGATGGCCCTGGATGGCCCTGGATGGCCCTGGATGGCCCTGGATGTTTTGACTTGGCTCAGGGTGACTGGGTATGAAATCTGACCTAACTCTGGTTGGTTAGGGTGAGAGAGGAAGTGCCAGGGAAGTTGCTGGTGATGAGTAATTACGATGTGGGAAGGTGAAGCCTGGGTACACTTCCAGGTGGGAATTCGATTCATGTTGATTCTTACCATGCACTTAGTGATAAAGGTGGGGTTTGTTCCCCTTGACCCTTTATTAGTGCAGCCAGCAGCACACCATTTTATGTATTGTTCTCTTTTATTGTTTATACTTTTGGTGCCGTATCTAAGAAATTATTGCCTAATTTAAGGTCACAAAGATTTCCTCCTATGTTTTTTTCTAAGAGTTCTATAGTTTTAGCCCTTACATTTAGGTCATGATGTATTTTAAGTTAATTTTTATGTCTAATGTGAAATATGAATCTAGCTTCATTGTTTTTCATGCGGATCCCTTGTTGTCATAGCACCACTGGTTGCAAATACTACCTTTTACCCACTGAAGGAGCCCTGGTGGTGAAGTGGTCGAAGCGCTCAGCTGCTCACCAAAAGGTTGGTGGTTTGAACCCACCAGCGCTCCATGGGAGAAAGATATAGCAGTCTGCTTCTATGAAGATATACAGTCTTGGAAACCCTATGAGGCAGCTCTACTATATCCAGTTCGGAGAGTATTGCTATCTTAATATTAGTTTTTCCAATCCATGATCAGATATCTTTCCATTTACTCAGGTCTTTTTCAATTTCTTTTAATGGTTTTTGGTAGTTTTCAATATACAAGTCTTGTAGATCTTTTGTTAAATTTATTCCTAAGTATTTTATTCTTTTTGGTGCTATTAGAAACAAATTTTTTTTCTTAATTTCATTTTCAGATTGTTTATTGCTAGTGTATAGAAATACACTTGAGTTTTGTATGTTGATCTTGTATCCTGTAACCTTGCAGACCTTGTTCATTTGTTCTAATTTTTTTTTATTTTCTGGATTTCTCAGGATTTTCTGTATATGAGATTGTGTATTGCAGATAGAGATAGGTTTGTTTTTATCTTTACAGTGTGGATGCCTTTTATTTCTTTTCCTTGTCTAATTGCCCTGGCTAGAACCTCCAGTACAATGTTGAATAGAAGTCGCAAGAGTGAAATCCTTGTCTTGTTCCTGATCTTAGAAGGGAATCCAGTATTTCACCATTAAGTTTGATGTTAGCTGTGCTTTTTTTTTTTTTTTTTTCATTAGATGGCCTTAACAGTTTGAGAAAGTTTTCTTTTACTCCTAATTTTTAGAGTGAAAGTGTGTTGGATTTGTCAAATGCTTGTTTGTGTGTCTCCTGTGATAATCATGTGATTATTATCTTTTGTGCCATTAATATAGTGTATTGCATT